TCAGCGCCCCAAGGGGTGAGCATCCCTGGGGTGGCTGCACGGCCCCGTTCGCGCCCAGATTGTGGGGCTGTCTCAGGCAGTGTGCCTGCTTGGTTGCCCAGGCTTTTCTGCTTTCAGAGCAGATTGCGAGGATGTCTCAGGCGCCTTGCTGGTTTCAGCACCCCAGCGGGGAGCCGCAAGGGGTGGTTTCATCTCCCCGCTCGCAGCCAGATGGTGAGGATGTCTCAGGCGGCTTGCTTCTGTGGTTGCCCAGACGCCTTCGCTTTCAGAGCAGATTGCGAGGATGTCTCAGCCGATTCGCTGGTTTCAGCACCCCAAAGGGGGAGCTGCCACGGGTGGTTGCCCTGCCCCGTTCGCGCCCAGATTGTGGGGGTGTCTCGGGCGGTGTGCCTGTTTGGTTGCGCGCGACGCCTCTGCTTCCAGAGCAGAGTGTGAGGATGTCTCAAGCGATTTGCGTGCTTGGTGGCTCACACTCCATTGCTTTCACAGCCGGTTATGCGGGTGTCTCAAATGCTTTGCTTGTTTGGTGGCCCGGACCCTTTTGCTATCATCGGAGGCGAGGTGGTGAGTTCGCAGTGGAACAGAGAGTCCCCGACCGGGAACTTGGGTTCGGTTGCGTGTTCGTGTCGTGTGTGCGGGCAAGTCGGAGCTGCGTGGGCGGGCGAGAGGTCTCAACCCGCTATTTTAAGGGCGCCGCCGGGACAGAAGTCCGTCCCCCCGCACGTTGACGGGCGGGTGCCGGGGGTGTCCCGCCGTGGTGTCCCCATGGTGTCCCGGGCTGTCCCGTGGTGTCCCGTCGGTGCCCCGTAGTGAGATCGATGTCGAGATCAATCGTGGAATCGATAGTGAGATCGATTGAGTGATTGGTTCCTCCCCCCCGAACCTCGTTATCACCCGAAGGGTGTTTGTGTAGGTCAGAGACCGTGAGGCTGTGGGATGTTGTGGGCTGGTGTGCTGGTTTTGATCCGCCTACTTCCCCTGGTCTCATTATCGCCCCCCTCTCCTGCTCCCCCTGCTGCTCCTCTCGCTTGGCACGTGTTGCCGATGCGTCGACCTTTCGCTCCCACAGGCCACTGTTTGATTTGTCGACCTAGAAGAGGCGTAGGGACCTGGGCGCTGTGCGTTTCAACACAGTTGCTGGGCATTGGTTGGTGTCGCGAAAATGGAATGCGCCCCGCCCCCCCCCCCCCACCCCACCCCCCCGCGTGATAACCATGGAACAATATACGGGGTAAACGCGTAGATTGTGGAGGAGAGAGGGCAAAGGGTGGGAAGGGAGAGCGGGGCGCGATGGAAGAGGCCCCCGCCTCTCCTCCTTCCCCGCCCGGAAGATGACAGATGGCCAGGGCCTCAGGCGAGAACGTCACATGATAGGTTGTCGACTTCTTCAGTTGTGAGCAAGGCAAAGGAAGCCGTTGCTTTTTCCTGACGACGACGTGGACGACATCGGCGGCCTTCATGTGCGCTGCATACACACATGTGTTTATGTAACAGCGTGCGTGTGTGTGTGTGTGTGAGTGTGTGTGTGTTTGTGTATGTGTCTATGCCGTTATAAGTAAAGGTATGCAAACATGTGTGATGTTCAAACATCGTTGTAGAGTGTGTCCTTATATAAACTATATGCATTATAGAAAAGGGCATCCCAGCAGGATCACACGTTACGGTGCACGTTTTTGTCTGTTTTCGCACATGTCGAGTATACATGGAAGCCAGCGCCAACGTAGTTCCATACACATACGCGTATGCATGAATATGATTACGCTGAAAACCAACTCATGCCGCCCATACTTTCGAATCGATTCCACCCATGGCCGTTTGCCAACCACCCCCAGAGGCCCAAGCCGAATGACATACCGGCAACAACTTCGTCGCAAAAGCGCCACCGCCGAACAAGAACAGTGCTCGAGGAGGAGGGGCTGGGGGTAGGTAGGAGGAGGGACAGGGGAGGGATACGGTCGGAGAGCGATGGAGGAGGATGAGGAGGAAAACCAAGGAGTGGAAGGGGGGGAACCACAATGGAACAGTGAGTAGGGGAACAAAAAGCGACATAAACATAAAAGCTCGGAGGTCCGCGCGGATTTCTCGGATCGGCGCTGCGCCAGGGGCGGCGCCGGAGGCGCCGCCGGGGGGGCCCCAGCGCCGATCCGAGAGATCCGCGCGGACCTCCGAGTTTTTATGTTCATGTCACTTTTTCTTCCCCTAGTGAGGGATGTCGCCGGGACGCCGAGGGGATCCCAGGACAACCAGGACGCCCCCGTGAGGAGTGGCAGCAGGAGTCACACGGGAGGCCCGGGGCGCCGCAGGAGGCCCCAGAGGGGGGGCCGCCCCGCGAGGGGCCCCTGCAGGCTGCAGGAGGCTCCAGGGTGGCATCCCCCCGTGGTGGCTCCGACGGGAGGGAGGGAGGGAGGGAGGGGGAGGGGGAGGGGGAGGGGGAGGACGCAGCAGGAGGAGGAGGAGGGAGGAGGAGGACGGAGGAGGAGGATGCAGGAGGAGGGAGCAAGACGGCCGCCAGGGAGGATGAGAGAGGACGGGGGGGGGAAGGAGGCGGACCCGGGAAGAGGGAAAAGGGAGGATGGAATAGCAGGGATGGGTGTACGACGAGGAGGAAGTGGGAGGAGCGGGGAGGGATTTGTTCACCGCCTGTTTGCGAGTCGTCGTGCCGTCGTCGTCGTCGTCGTCGTCGTCGTCGTCGTCGTCGTCGTCGTCGTCGCTGTCCCTCATCATAGCCGCCGCCGTCGTACTCGCCCTCGCACCCAGACGCTCACAGTGGGGCACGCCAGAAAGTTTGATGCACGTATAAGGACTTCCGAGTAGACTACGTTTCTCGATGTTCGCATGCTTGACTTCGCTGTCTCCAGGGCACCCTAGACGACCCACCAGATGGCGCAAACGACGTCGAAGAAGGACACCCAAGAGGCCCCCAGAGAGGCTTAAGAGATGCTTCAGACAGCCCAAGAGGGCTCCAACGCAGCCCAACAGAGCCTTCAGAGCGCCCACAAAACAGCCCCTGGAAGCCCTGGAGGAACCCAGACAGCCTAAGACAAGACGGCCTAAGCCATGGCGAGCCCGAACCGAGCTGGATGTCCCTAGGCCCTAGGCCCTAGGCCCTAGGCACCAAGGTGCGCGATCAAGTTGGCGATCTGCCAGTGCAAGGCGGAAGGGGATTCCCTGAACCCCACGGGTTGGGAGCCCAAGCGGGCGTTCTTCGGACAACGCAGAGGAGTTGCGCCCCGCTTTGTCCAGAGCCTGCCCCGCTTCGGGTCCGTCGGGGCTGCCGCGCACGGCTGCAAGCCGCGAGGAAGAAGTGAGAAGGGGGCCAATGTGCCTACGGAGTACCAGTGCTCGGTGGAATGGCTGGGTATGGCACGGCCATTTTGCCGCAGCATGTTGGAACCGCTACAGTATTGTCGCTTCGCCCTTGGACCAATACGGGCTGCATGTAGCCGTGCACGCTCACGTACTGCGAGGGAACAAGAGCGGATGCCTAGTGGGAAGCCAATGGTGGCCGGTAGATGCAAGCGCGCCGCTCTCTGGCAAACCGCGCGAGTCGCCGACGTTGGTGGCTGTTTCCGGCTTGAGCGAATTGGCTCAGGGGCTGTTCAGCGGTTGTGTCGACGGCGTACTCATTTAGCGGCACGTCTATATTCAAGCCGTCGTCCACTTGCTCGGTCACTTTGTCCTGCTGGATCTTGCTGTTGACTCCTGTGGCCCGCCGCATCGGTGAACCCCCACAGAGCGTGCAGAGCAATGCCGTCCGTGTTCCGTTACAGCTTTAGCTACCAGGACGTTGGATACACGTGACGCGGCCAGCCTCTGCGAGAGCCTGACACACATGTGATGACGCGTTCCACAGAGGTCCTTTCCTTAAATGGTCGAAGGAGTTTACATCTCTTCCGCGGCGGAAGGCGGCGGAAGGTCGGCGGAAGTAACACGAGGCCGCGGAAGGGCGGCGGAAGGTCGGCGGAAGTAAAGGGAGGCCGCCTCTGTCGGCGGAAGCCGGCGGAAGGGCGGCGGAAGGTGGCGGAAGTAAAACATGCGTCCCCAAGAGATGAAAAGGTTTCTGGGTTCAGCGTTTCCGAAATCCGCCACATGTGGCCAGACGTTTTTTCCAGCGCTCGGCCACTATCTGGCCGTGTAGATCTAGCTCCCGCATGTGCATCCAGCTCGTGGTCTCCAGATGTCCCACGTGTGAGCCCAGCCACGTGTGTTTCCAGCTTCCTGGTAGTCCTTCAAACCCATCTTTGCAGTGCCAAGGACATCAATCTGCTTTCACCCAGAAGAGGACCTTGGCGACCTGTTGGACTGGTCTGCCGCTGTAGCCTCTGACACCTCGAGGCCCCGCTCGAAGCCCACGGTAGTGGAGTTGCCGTTCGCAGTGCCGATCTTGCACTTGGTGATCGGCTCGGGCCTGGCGACTATCACGAATCTGTCAACCTCAGCTGCCGCATGGTGCACAAGCTTACCAGCATGAAGCACCAGAGTGCTGTCGACTCCTTGCACGAACTGGCCAATGCACTCTGTCTCCGTATACTTCGGTCGTTCATGAAGTTGGCCGTTCAAAAACAGCTTGCCCCTTGCGGGTGCCCGGGGTCCTTCACATCGGTGACTGTCATAGTGACGCTTCCAGCTCCTGCGGGATCCTTGCCCTTTTCAATGCCCCTCTTGATGTGGGGACCAGCGTTTCGCAATGCTTTCCGGCAGGCTGTCGCTTTGGGCGGGAATGCCTGTCGTGCCGGCAAGCACCTCCGTGAGGAGTCGTTGGGATTGTCGTTAGGGGTCGCGCTTGCATCTTCGTCTTGCAACTCATCGGGTTTAAAAGGGTTTTGTCGCCTACAGTTGAGACCCAGGCCAAGAAACACCCTGCTTGCCTCCAGGGTTTTCTGGATTTTTTGGGTTTCGATGGTTCTGCTATGGAAAGCGTGACGTTCCCACACCACGAATCAATTTGACGTCCTGTGGTCTCAGGGTTGGGTTTCTGGTGGACGGCTTCTTGTGGTCGAACCCTTACTCCACACTGTATCAGAGGATCCACAAGCTAGAGAGCAGGTGCAGTGGAAGCTGCCTCATTGCGTGGGTCGCCGGCGTCCGCAGCGGTCCTCAGGAAGTCCACATGCTGCTTCTGTGGCCGTGGCCGGATTTTGTGAAATGGTCAACGGACCGCGCTGTCGCGCGCCCGCGCACGTTTCTCGCCAGGGCCCAAATAGGCATCGACAAGGATGAGGACGACGATGAAGGCAAGTATGAGGAAGCAGGAGAAGGAGGAGGAGAAAGAGGAGGAGGAGGAGGATGTGGAGGAGGAGGAGGAGGAGGAAAATGAGGATGGGGAGAGGGCCAGGGTCAAAGCGACGGGGGCAGGGGGCTGTGAGGCGTACGCAGAGGGGGACGCAGGGTGGGAGACGGATTGAGCTAGAAGGAGTTGAGCTGGAATGGCGAGAGAAGGAGCCCAGGTCTGAACATGTCTCGGGCCATCGGGGACACAGTCGGGCACAAGGAAGCCGGCCTGTCCGCCGTGCCTGACGTCAAAGAGATCGATATGGCGGACGTGCGGAGGAAGAACCCCAAAGCAGTGTACACTTTGATACTCTGCACCGACGGGGTATGGGAATTCATTGACTCCAAAGAGGCCGCCGAGAAGGTGACCACTGAAAAGATCCAGGACGGTGTTCACCGCGAGCGTTCGCTCCTTCTCCTTTTCCGCCTCCGCCTCCAGATCCTCAACCTTATTCCCTCCTTGCGGAGCAAGAGGGAGCATACGGAGGAGGATCAGGCGGATGATTATGATGATGCTGATGTTGATATTGATGCTGATGTTGATGGTGATGCTGATGATGATGGTGATGATGGTGATGCTGATGATGATGATGATGACGATGATGATGATCCTGCTGCTGCTGATGCTGCTGATCCTGCTGATGATGTTGCTGCTGGTGATGATGGTGGGGTTGCTGTTGAGATTGATGTTGATGTTGATGATGGTGATGATGATGCTGATGATGATGCTGCTGCTACTGCTGTTGATGATGCTGCTGATGAATGCTGCTGCTTCTGATGATGATGAAGATGATCCTGATGCTGATGATGACGATGACGATGATGGTGATGATGATGATGATGCTGATGCTGATGATGATGATGATGATGATGATGATGATGATGAGGATGCTGACGATGCTGATGTTGGCGCTGATGCTGATGCGAATGCTGATGCTGCTGATGATGGTGATGCTGATGCTGCTGTTGCTGATGATGATGGTTATGATGCTGATAATGCTGATAATGCTGATGCTGATGCTGATGTTGATGATGATGCTGGTGATGTTGATGATGAAGATGATGATGAGGATGACGATGATGCTGATGATGCTGATGCTGCTGATGCTGATGATGCTGGTGATGGTGATGATGCTGAACCTGATCATGATGATGATGCTGATGCTGATGATGATGGCGATGAAGCTGATGATGATGATGAAGCTGATGATGATGATGATGATGATGATGATGATGATGATGATGATGCTGCTGCTGATGACGATGATGCTGCTGATGATGCTGAAGAAGAAGATGATGATGATGATGCTGATGCTGATGCTGATGCTGATGCTGATGATGATGATGATGATGATGATGATGATGATGATGATGATGATGATGGTGGTGGTTGTGGTGGTGGTGATGATGCTGATGCTGCTGATAATGCTGATGCTGATGATGCTGATCCTGCTGATGCTGATGCTGCTGCTGATGGTGATGCTGATGCTGCTGCTGGTGATGATGATGGTGTTGATGTTGGTACTGATGTTGATGTTGCTGATGGTGGCGATGATGATGCTGATGATGATGCGATGGAGGAGGAGGAGGCGGAGGAGGAGGATCATGAGGAGGAGACGGAGGAGGAGGAGGAGGAGGAGGAGGAGGAGGGGATTGAGAAGGAGACGGATAAGGAGAAGGAGAAGGACAAGAGAAGGACGAGGGTGGCATTATGGGGATGTGGAGGAACAGGGCGAGAGAGCATGCGGAAATGAGGCGGAGGAGGCGGAGGAGAACGGGGATAAGGAGGAAGATGCGGAGGAGGAGGAGGAGGTGGAGGAGCAGGAGGGGGGGGAGGTGAAAAAGGATGGCCAGGTGGAAGAGGACCAGGAGGGGGAGGAGGAGGAGGAGGAGGAAGAGGAGGAAGAAGACCATGATGAGGAGGAGGAGGAGGAGGAGGAGGAGGAGGAGGATAATGGCTCATATTGTGGCGAACAGGAAGAGGAGGAGAAGGGAGACGAGGAGGCGCAGGCGGAGGAGGAGGAGCAGCGGGGGGGGGGGGGAGCGTAACGGGTGGTGTGGGGTTGGGCTGAAGAGTAAGGAGGCTGGTGACTGAGAGGTGTGGGGCAGCCTACTTGTGTGAATGTGCCACAGGAGGCGACAGAAGCGCTCGTGAAGGCGAGCGGTGGCAAATGGATTCTCGTCGTCACCGTCGCCGTCCAGCTCTTCGTCCCCGTCCACGTCCTCTTCCCGTCCTGCCCCCTGGTCGCATGCGGCTCGAGCTGCATGACATCGTGCGCGCTCGCTCCAGGCACCCCTCTCATGAGCTCGAGCCTGCGGAGGTCCTGGAGCAGGCTGCTGCCTTGAGTGCGTGCCGCGCGTGGGCCAGCACAGGCTGGCGGGGACAGCCTGGACTTCTGCCCCCCCTTCCAGGGCTCGAGTGCCGTCCTGTCCCTCCATGCTGGCTTGTTTAATCTCTGTTTGCTTGAGGTGTCCACTGCAATCCTTTACTCTCTCCCGCTCCCCAAGCCGTCTGGCCCAGTACCTACCTGCCTGCCCCAGACTCCCCAGCGCTGCCACCTGGTGTTGGAGGGGCAACGAGCATCCCAAGCGCGGGCAGAAGTCAGTATGTACTGCTTTAGTATTTTGTATCAGGTGGGCAAAAGTTTGGGGACGCCTGCGCTACGGTGATTACCACAGCTCGGGTCAATGTAAGCATCCTGCTCGCCCTCTTCCACGGGGTACCGCGGGTCACACCCTTTCCTTGGGCATATTCTCCAACCTGGCCGAGGGCGCACATTGGCATTTGTTGGTGGGTTTTCGGCCCTCCCTGGCGGTCGACGTGCCAGGGGGTGTCCCTGGTGGAATATCGCCAGGGGTTGAGTGCCATGTGCTTCACTCACATTTCTGTTTGCTTTCTTGTCGATTGGTACTTGGTATGGGCTTGGTACGCTCCGCATCGTGCCACGACACGTTCATCCAACAGTTTTTCTGGCCGCACTTTCGGGGTTCACTTCAGAGGGAAATGAGCCAGCAATTGCCGTGGGGCTTCCTGGGCATGGTCGGAGGTATGCGGTGTGGGCTGGACGTGCTAGAGCGCCAGCGGTGCCACTAATCAGAGTTCCCTGCCGTCCGTTTTAGGCGACGAAGCGAGCATAGCCCGTTGCCGCGTGGTGGGTTTCAGGTTGCACCAGTTGCGCCAATGTGCTTCGCTCGCACTCCTTGGAGTTCTACGACTGGTGTGTGTGTGTGTGTGTGTGTGGTGGACGGGGCTGTTCCCCACGCGCTACTGACACCGTGGATTGAGCGCCACGGTGTGTGTGTGTGTGTGTGTGACCCTGCGGTGGGCCCATACCCGTGATGGTGCTCACGGTCAGGACCTTCGGCTTAGCGTGTCGCTCCGACGGTTCTGGCCCACCGCGTTGCGGCGCAACACCCTATCCACGTCCCGGCTTGCACGTGAATCATCTGAGCGTCAGATGCGCCGTGGCCGCAAAGTAGTCGGTAGGAAAATGCATCATATGGGGACGAAAGCGTCCCCAGACAACAACAAAAAACACTATCCACGTCCCGGCCCCCAGGCGGCGTCAACGTCCCGAGCTTTCCCCCGCCGCCCGCCCCGCGGAGCGCAGCGACACGCTGCCCGTTCGCAGGGCACCGCGCGGCGCTGGGGCCGCCGCCGCCGCGAGACGCCAAGCAAACGTTCCCGGCCGCAGCAGTTGCGAGGCGCAGCTGCACACGGCGTTCTCTTCGGGGGCGGCCTGACCGTCCCCTAGCAAAGCATCCCCTTTCTGCGACGTCCCCCTCGCATCGCCCCAAAACGTCTGCATGCGGCCAGAGGGAAGCTCGAGAGGTGAGGGTGACGTGACGTCGCGGAAGGGGATGGTTTGCCAGGGGTCGGTTAGGCCGCGCCCGACCTTTCAACATGTGTATCCGAGGTTCACGATTGCGGCGTGCTCCCGTACGACGCCACGGCAGCGGCCGCCTCTGATATCTCGTGTGGTGGAGCTGCTCGTCCGAGTTGGATGCGAGGGCCTCCCGCCCTGGGCCCGCTGTGCAACCGTTGGCGTTCGTTCCCTCCCTCCCTCCCTCCCTGCCCCCTTCCTCGTCTCTCCCTCTCTCCCTTCCTCCCTCCTCCTTGCCCCCTCCTTCCTAACCCCCCCCTTCCCTCCCTCCCTCGGCAGTCGTCCATCCTTCTAACTATGGGAAAGCCTTAGGTCGCCAGAAACCCTCCCTCCACACTCCCTCCCCCCCCCCCCCTCCCCCCCTCCCCTCCCCATCCTCCCTCCCCCCTCCCTCCTCCTCCCTCCCTCCATCCCTCCTTGCCTCTCCCCTCCCTCCCTGCCCCCTCCCTCCTGCCCCCTCCCTTGCCTCCTCCCTCCCCCCCCTCCCCTCCTCCTTCCACCCGTCCTTCCACTCCCCTCCCTCCCTCCCTCCCTCCCTGCATGCCCCGTCCCTTGCCTCCTCCCTCCCTCCCTCCCTCCCTCCCTCCCTCCTTCCTCTCTCCCCCCCTCTCACCCTGCACCCCTCCCTCCCTCAATCTCCTCCTCCTCGTGAAGGCGAGCTGGGACAAGTGGATGAGCGACTCCGAGGGGGAGATCTCGGACGACATCACCGCCATTGTGGCCCGGCTGCCCTCGGCTGCCCTGGCTTCTTGAGCCCTGCCTTGCACGACACGTTCGCGCGAGAGGGCCGCGCGCACTGGACTGGATGCCTGGATGCAAAATGCTCTCCTCCTCCTCCTCCTCCTCCTCCTCCTTCTCCTCCTCCTCCTCCTCCTCCTCCCCTCCCCTCCTCCTCCTCCTCCTCCTCCTCCTCCTCCTCCTCCTCCTCCTCCTCCTCCTCCTCCTCCTCCCCCTCCTCCTCCTCCTCCTCCTCCTCCTCCTCCTCCTCCTCCTCATCCTCCTCCTCCTCTTTCCTCTTCGGCTGCGGCGCCGGACGTGGCTGCGCGCCGAGGACCAGACCTCGATGCGCCCGTCGCGAATGGTGCACCGTGGCGGCTCCACGGCTGCTGCCAGCATCGGCGGCGTGGCGAGGGCGCCCGAAGCCCGCGCAAGAGTTCGTCCGTGTGGCCTGGAGCATCCCTGGGGCGGCCAGCGCGGGTGCAGCCTCTTGGCCCCAGACGCCCTCCGACCTGACTCTGCCAGTCCGCGGCCCCAGCGCTCCCGACCCCCTGCCCAGGAGGGGTTGGCTTTGCGTCCTGGATCCCTCCTCGCTGGTCCCGGGGCCCGAGGGCGGGCCGCATGTAGGCCGGAATGGGAGGGAGAGAAAGCCATGCCGTCGGAGATTTGGGGCCGCCCCCGCAGCCGTGGCGGCCCCCGCCGCGCAGGCGGGGAGTCGGCCCTGCTCCGGCTGCAGCTGCAGCCGCGCACGCCGGCGGGCCCCCCGTGCGCGCGGTCTCGGGCGGGGCGTCGGCCCGCTCGTCGTATCGGTGCCCGACCGCCCGGTGCGGCCGCTCCTGGGGGCCTCCGGAGGCGCAGAACGCTCTCGGGGGCCCTCGGGCAGCCCCGGAAGCCAGGGGCACGGACTGTGATTCTAAGTCGGGCGTGTCCCTCTGCAGGAGGTGTGTTCCAAAGCCGTCAAGAAGTTGTGTGGGGGGACGATTTGTGGTAAGCATTTGGAACGCATATTGTTTGAAGATTTTGTTGGACTATTTTTTATACAATCGGACCAGAATCCGCCTGTAGGAGAACACGCCCAACCTAAGACTAACCAGACACTGGCAAGTCGGGGAAGCGACGCCGTCTCCTGTAAAGTCAGATTCGGACGTCTGGTGGATGTGATGTTTTTGTTGGCTGCGCTGCTGGATTCGGGTCTTTGTCTGGGTCCAGGGGAGGGGCGGGGCGTTGTCCAGAGTTACTCCGGGCAAGTTGCAGTGCAGCTTTTGTTCGTGGTGCCGTCCAGAAAGATTGTTGATTTCGAGGGATGTTGGGTCCAGCGTGCCTGGTTTTACAGGGCCCCGAGGCCCCGAAACGGGTGACCACACCGTGTGGTGAGTCGCTGGGGAGTTGGAGTTACCGTGATGCTCTGCGACCTTGGAGGCCCCGGCCGCCCGAGGCATCCTCGGAGGAACGCCCAAGCTGCGCGGTGACGTCCCAAGACCGCGCGGTGAGACACGAGCACGGTCTGCCGCCACGCGGCCTTGAGAGCCCCCGAGAACGCGCCACGAACGGCCGGACACTTGCTCCCTCTCTTCTCCGCCCTCCGCCTCTCTGCCTCCCTGGGGCACCATGAGCCCTCGTGAGCTGGGCGCCGCGATCGAGACCCAACTTTGGGCACTCTGGCCGGCTGCCCTCTCCGAATGCCCGCTGCAAGTCGACGCAGCTCCCCCCCTCCCGACCCCCGACGCTGTGTTGTTTTTTGGGGGGCCCGGCGCTAGTTTCTCGTGCCGAGCCGCTCTTGGACGGCCCCGGGGGCCCCTGCAGAGGGCCACCGAGGGGGCGGAAGACGTCTGAGAGCCTCCCGCGCCGTGCCTTCCTCACGCCGGGGTGGTCTGGGACCCTTCCCTGAGACCCGACGCTGCGACAAAAAATCTACAGCATTGCAGAAAAAATCACGCCCGCAGCCCCGGACCCGATGTTTTGCGCCGTTTCTCGAGCCGGATCGATCTGTGAGGTTCCCGGGGCCCGAAGTTGGGCGCAAACGCCCGGTGTGAAAAAAAATGCAACGCCAGGACCTCAGGGCTATGACGTTCCAACCTACTTTTAGCCTTGATCGCCAAAAAGAATTTCGAGCACCAGGAAATACCGAATCTCGAGGGTTTTCACGTCTCGGGCACTGGGAGACACTCGTCCGACATTGCTTCGACACTCTTTCGACACTTTTTTCTGGGTGCTCGAAACTATTTCTGGGAGGTGGTCCTGAAGTACGATGGGAGCAACGTACACGCCGGTCGTTGAAAATAGGTATTCTTGGATTCCCAGATCCAAATCTATTTCTAGCGCCTTCCTACTTCAAGAATCGGCACGGTCTTGAGGTGTGTGCTTTTATTTTCTGGGAGGGCCTGGAGCCAATCTACTTCATCCGCCCTCCTACTTCATGTTTTTACCCACTTCTTCCGACCGACGTGTCATCGCAGGGTTGCTGACCTCCCCCTCCTCCATTTCCTCCTCCTCCTCCTCCTCCTCCGCCCTCCTCCTCCTCCTCCTCCTTCTCCTCATTCTCCTCCTCCTCCGCCCTGGCTCCTCGGGCCGCGCCCGGCCTCCGCCTCCCCCTCGCGGGCGGCAGCGGCCGGCCCCGGCGGCCAGCGC